GACCTGGGCATATGCATGGCTATCCTGGTGGCGCTCTGCGCTGGCGCTTGCGAAGGCGCCTGTGTAGCGCCGGGTGTGTTCTGAGGCAGTTGGTGCCGTGAATGGTTGTGCTCAGTTCACCAGAGGACCCGCAGGCCATCTGTGGACTGGCAGTTGGCAGAGCAGGCTGGAAATAAAGGTTACCTTGGTGCTTCGTTCTGTTCACCAATAGTGTGGTCACAGGTGATTGTTAGAGGAACAACTCGTAGTGATCAGGAGGCAGGGACAGTGTTTTACTCACTTTTGTGTCCCTGAACCCAGAAAAGTGCCTGGATCCGGATAAGTAATTGTCGAATGATTTGTTGAATGTCATAGCAATGAAGGAAAAAACTCCACACATTATCCACAAGTAGAGAAAAACAGAGTTTGAAGGGCAGGGTGTCTAAACCAGCTGTGAGGAAGGTCCATTGTCAACTGAAGCATCCCTACCGCGATGGTGACCAGTGGCTTCTGCTTCTGCCAAGACAGCCCCAAGGAAGTCCGCTTTGCCAGATAAAAAAGAGTCAATGCAATAGAAATTACTAGATAGTGACACATTTCCCTTAGTAGTGACTAAGCAGAAATTTTAATGTTCTTGAATAAATGTGTGTTGTCAAAATAGACATTTAGGAATCAGTCAGAATATACCAAAATACTTTTTTTTCAGTCCTCACCTGAGGATATGTTTTTTGTTGTTTTTAAACTTGATTTTTAAGGGGGGCAGGGAGAGAAACATCTATGAGAGAGAGAAACATTGATCTGTGGCCTCCCGCATGTGTCTCCACTGGGGATCAGACCCACAACCTTTTGATGTACAGAGGACACTCCCAACTAAGTGAGCCACCCGGCCAGGGTAAAAATACATCTCTTTTTCAGCAGAGAACGGGTTTACTGGAGAGCTGCTGCGCCCTGTAGGCCTGTTAGACCTGGTAGAGATGGTCAAGCTCTGTGCTGTGTCTCGTGGTTGCAGCGAGAGCACAGCACAGCGCCTGCCCCTCCTCAGAGTGCCAGCCCTGGCAAGAGGTGATAATAAAGGCGTCTGCACAGTGCCCAGGGCACAGGAGCTGTGTGGTTCATTCTGCAGATGCCTGGGGGAGTGGCTGGCAAGTTGGAGGCTGGGTCTTTTTTTTTTTTTGGAGGGTGCAGGGCAGGATGAAAGGGGAGGAAGGGTGTTCTGGGAGGGTTAATATCTGCAGGCAAGAGGCAGGAGAAACCAGAATCAACTTGTGCATGGGTGGAGTTCAGAGAAACCGTTCCCTCTCCTCCATCACATTTCCGCAGGAGGATTAAATATACACAGATGGTGACTTTGCAGCACCTCTCGTAGACCTCAGTTGACCTGTTTACTGACCTGTTTTGGTCAATCTAAAGTCCCAACTCTCACTATAGGGGTGACTCCAAAATCTAGCCAAGCATCAGATCACCTGAGGGAACTGTTTATAAAATACAGATTTTCAGCACATTCACCCCAGAAATTCTAATTCAGGAAGTCTGGAGAGGCGTCTGGGAGGGGGCTGTTGAAATTTGCCCTGGTGGTTTTATGCTCAGCCACATACAGGGTCCAGTTTTTGCAGGAGAAGCTCAGTGACCTGATTTGAAATGCTCAGCAGAGGGGTTTCTGGCACCTTCTCCCAAGAAAATTGCACGTGCAGCCTCTTTCCTGCTCCTGCACATACACAGATCAAAGCCGGTTACAGTTAGTGCCAGGTGGCCTCAAGGAAACACGGTAAAGCACTGCAGCTGAGCACTGGAGACGGTAGCCACCCCTCAGATTCCCTGCCCCCCTTGCAGGCCTTGGCCTCTGAACCCCTCACATGCAAACACTGTGGCCCCAAAGAGCTTTTGTGTGTCCATCAGTATTTACTGTATTAGAAATTAAAACAAATATTTAAAGTATTTTGTAATTCTAAAATAAAACTACATATGAACAGGAATAACATTTTTATGAAAATAGGTGTATATTTCAAACTTTCAAAATTAGAAGAGTAGCATTGTCTTACATTTTTGAAAACTTCGCTGTCTGAGTCCAGAAGACACCCATTTTGTTGCAGTGCCATCATCTCTGGAGCACTGCCTGGCACACTCGCGGGAGAATGCGTGGAAAAGCGCATGATTTCTTACTATTATGAAAATAGTTTTGACCTTGTTGATACCCTGACAGAGTCTTGGGGTCCCCCCAGGGATATTATCTCTTAAGGCCACCCAGTAGACCATGCACCACTCCCCATCACATATATACTCCCACACATGTCCCTGCACACCTGCCCACACACAGCTCCCCAGGCATCTAGTTACTGCCTTGGCTCCTCAAAATAACCTGAGATCACTCTGAAAAGTCCTCTACTTGGAGCAGAGTTTAAATGAACATAGAGAAGGCAGCTAAGTGTTTGTTGAATGAATAAATGTTAAATATTTATGCATTGTGTACCTTAATCAACTGATAAAATTAGGTATCTTTGGAGCCGACCATTTAGAATCTGTGATTATTTTCAAATAAATATTTGGAAGTTAATATTCCAATTAAGGATAGCACCAGACAGTGGTTAAGATCATGAGCTCTGGACTCAGAAAGCTTCGTCTTAATTCCAGCCCCAGAACTTAGAGGGATCGTGGACAAGTCACCCCCAGGAGCCTCCGTCTCAATTTGTAAAGTGAGAATAATAGCATTAAAGGTCCACAACTTCTTATATTCATTTCCAAAATGCATTCACCTATAAACATGGAAATTTTATTTATAATTCATTGAACAGCCAAGCCTGACCTGATTAATTTGGTAGCAAAAGCTGGCCTCTGACCTGGACAGACGTGAAGCTTTTTATTTTACCTGATACGATTGATTGTATGTTTTGCTGCAGAGATTTAAAATGTTTGATTATGAGTACTGTCCTAGACCTTGCTTAGTCTGTGTATTATAAATGTTTCATAGTAAGTCATATGTGTACTGAATTGCCAAACCCATGTGCCCCAGCGTTTTGCATGAGCGGCTGAGGGTGGGTGTTACCATGTCGGGGTTAGCAAGAGCGCTGCCCAGCACATAGAACCTTGCTAGCTTTCACTAAAGAAATAGGGTCTTGTTTCTAAATAAGCATTGAAACCACTGAAAAGAAATCATGTTTTATGAACATTTTCACATCGGCGAAAGATGGGTTTTTGTTCTTTTCCCCTCTTGACCTGGGCACGAGGGGAACACGGCACGCTGCCCTTCTCCTTCCGTTGTCGGGAAGAGCAGAGCGTTGGAGGTGCGCCTTTCTCGGTACTAGGCAGGTTTGGAAACTGAAGGTACTTCACAGTTTGTCATTCTCTTCTTGTTTGCTGAGCACCTACAGTGTGCCTGATACTGCTGGATACTAGGGATACATTAGCAGACAAGCCCAAGTCTTTGTCCTTAAGTCACTCACAGTCCAGTGGGAAGGAACAGTTGGATCAGGTGGTGTGCCAAATATTCAGCTTTAACAGTCAACCCAGTGAAGCTTGTAATTAGGCTGCCAGATAAATTGAGTTTTAGGTAAATAATGAATAACTCTAGAACTTTGTTCCAAATGTTGCATGGGATGTACTTACACTAAGTGTGATGTATGTCCTGTGCAATATTTGAGACATACTTAGGGGGGGAAAAAGTTGTTTATCTGAAATTGACATTTAGCTGAGTGTTCTATATTTTCATTTGCTAAATCAGGCAGCCTTACCTGTGATCTCGGGCTATTTTTCAGCCATAGTGGCCAGCTCTGAGGAGGAAATATGTTTCACTCATTGGATAATTGAGTTTTTTAAAAAAAGACTATTTACAGAGGTATGGGCAAGTTAAGGGAAACTAGACATGATAAAAGGCCTCGGGCTGGGAGCACTTAACCACCATTAGGCTCTGTGTCGCAAGAAGAGGGAGAGAAATGGAGAGGGTCACCAACAGGAGCTGTCCTGTCACCTTCCTAGAGAGATGTACCCCACCAGCAGAGATCCTTCATGCAGGAAATTGGCAAAAACAAAACTTGGCTCTGCTTCCTCCCAGCTACACCCTGCTCCCACCCTCTGGTCTCCAGGGGGCACCCTCCCCATCTAGAAGTAAGGCAAGGGGCCAGCCTGGCGCTCTATCCAGGAGGCTGGTGAGCAGGCCCCCTGGGGTAGGGAGTGATCTGTGGAGGTGAGTGAGAAATAGGCAGCACAACTCTGATGTGTACACAGTCAAGATAACCTTATACCAGAACTCGTGTCAGCAGTAATAAGCCAGGGGGAGGGCAGAAGGAGGGGGGTGAAGGGAGGCACGAAAGGAAGACAACAGTTTGAATTTGAAGGTGAAGGGAAAAGCAAATCAGCGCTACTGGTGATTTTAGTTTAAAGTGATTTTGCTTCTACCAGACAGAATTTTTTCCTCTAGAAAAACCACTAGTTTCTTGTATCAACTTAATGGGTAGAACCAGGACACATGAGCGCTCCTATGTGCCTGCACTTGCACGACCCTGGAAAGTGTGCACCCTTCGTGCCTCACCCTGGCCCCAGCCATCATTTGGGAGGGCTCAGTCCCAAAGGAGTCCAGACTTAGGGCCCTGCTCCGCCTCAGCACATCCCTGTCCCCACTCATGCAGGGCAGGCAGGGCCTGTGGTGCTTGAAAATGGCCCAACCTGAAAGCTTGCATTTTCCCAATGAAAATGGTTGCAAGTAGGGTGATACTAAAATTAGCCAGCTGGCGAAAGGAGAGATAAAAAGGACATTTGAACCACTGGGCCACCGCTGGAGTGTGGACTCCTTCCTCAGGACTCTTGAGATAAATGCCAAGTAACCGCCTGGAGAGGGCTTTTAAATGGTGGGGCGCCGCGGGTGACCAGATGGATGCCAGGATGTAGATGAATATTAATGAATGCACGGGGCCTGACACCTTTTTCCTGAAGTATTTGAAGACCCTCTCACCCTGGGAGCCGGCCTCTGTTCTTGTCTGCGATGGGCACCCTGGCTCACTCCCTCTGTCTCCTGTCACTTTGCAGTTTCCCAGGCAAGGCTTGCAGCAGACGCAGCAGCAGCAGCAGACCGCCGCCCTGGTGCGGCAGCTCCAGAAGCAGCTCTCCAGTAAGTACCCGCCCGCCCGGACAGACAGCTGCCTGGAGACGGAAAACAAGCAGAACACACGTGTCGGCCCCTCAAAACTGCACTGACTTCCTTGATACCATTTTATCTCGGTTTGGTCTGCAGTGTCGAGGTGTTTTCATCTTGTTTTGACTTGGTTTGGCTTTTGGTTGATTGCTACTTTTAGAAAAGCCTCAGTCTTTTATTTTTTTATGAGTTCAGTGAAGATGTCTTCCTGTTGCTTTCATCTGACCCTGGAGAGGTTTCTTTTCATTTGAGGACCCCTGTGGGAACTGCAGGTGCCCTTTTTACAAAGCTGGAAAGTGTAGAAAGCGGCACGGTGGATGCCTTCAAGTGACTGATGGAGCAGTTAGGTGGTCTCCCAAAGGCCAGAGCCAGAAGGAGGCCAGCGTTAGACCCGTGTCCTGGTCACTGGGGCTGTGACAGCTCTCACCACCGTGACATCCTACGCCTCCTGACAACAGCTCAGACATCACAACCTGTTCTGCGGCGGGCAGCGTGGTGGGGAAGCCTTCTTCCCGGTGGGCCTGCCTGCTGTGTGCTGTGCTGCTTCGATTGTGCTGCCTCTAGTGTGCACACCACCCACCCACTCACCCCCTGGTGCGGAGGCCAGCGGCGTGCTTCCACCACCCAGTCACTCTGCTGGAGTGCAGGGCAGGAAATTCTCTAGCAATGGGGCCAGCCCCTCAGTTGCAGAGAGTATTGGCCTGGAAGTCAGGAGACCTAACTCCTGGTGCCAACTCTGCCCCCATCACCTGGGTCCTGTGATTTTTCATCCATGGAGTGAGGAGTGAGGGCGCAGTTTCCCCTGGTCTCGGGGTGCGGAGTTGGGAGCAGCCTGTCCTGAGCAGTCCCGTGACTGCTGGACTAGACTGTGGGGAAAGGGGCCAGTTAACGGCTGAGGGCAGCTTGGTTCCCGCTGACTTCTGCCTGGCTACTGTCCATGCTGACTTCCCCCCAGAGGAAATACCCTTCCTGTATCTGGTGTCTCTACCGGGACATAACCAAGACCTTTTTTTTTTCCCTTTAAAAATACTTTCCTCTTACAACCTCGTTTAATTTCAGTTAAACCATGTAAATCAATCCTCTTTTCCAACCGCTGTTTAACAGGTGCGATCTGCACAACAAATGTGTGGTTAAAACTTCATTGTTCCATTCTACACATTTTTACATGGGAAATGGGACAATATAATTTTAAGGGCAAGACACTGTTTATATTTTAGATTTTTTTTAGTGTTTAGAAATATGCACCAATGATCTTTATATGATTAGTACCTATTTAGGGAGCACATCTCTAGTTTCCAGTTTCCCAGAGCTCACGCAATGCAGCTTTCGTTTTTAAGGCATCCTTTATGGAGCACTTTCTCGGACCCACGCACACTGTGACTTCAGGTGGTTAATTCCTAAACCACCCCATGAGGTTAGATATTGTCACTGTTCAGTGTTATAGACAAGGAAACAACCACAGAAGAGGGACACTGACTGACTGCCCAAGGTTCTTCAGCTGCCAGTAAGGGACAGAGCTGGGACTTGAGCTCAGACATCTCTTCCCGAGCCCACTCTGCACCACCACGCAGGCATCCCTGTCTCCTTGCACTCAGTTTGACTGTGCTTCACAAACTGAAGGCAAGACCCTCCACTGCAAGAAGGTTGTGGCTCGCCTTACTGCGGCGGTCTAGAACCGAACTGCAGTGTCGCCGAAGTCCACCTGGACATGCTCTGCCCGTCCACGTGGCTGCATAAGGGTGGCCGAGCTGAGCTGCCCACTGCACAGCTCCAGAGGGCTCGCTTTCTATCAGGCCTTGAGAATGGGGCCTCTGGATTTGAACAGTCCCCTCAGAGTTGTGCAAGCAGTGGCTGTTCTAGTTCGTTCTTTGTACTTTTATTTTTCTGTGTGTGCACATGCACACATGTACATATATGCATGGGCACACACTTGAGTCACACAGAGCTGCTCTTGCACAGACATAGACTCTTACACAATTCTCCCTTACATATTTTTTGGCCGTTTGCAGAAATTATCCAGTTTCAAGCTACTTTCCTCACTCCCTATAATGTCTGTTAAAGCAGAACTCCTGATGTGTTTTTATAAAAATTTTGAGAACTTTAATGTTTTGTGATATTTCAAGTCCTTCTGTGAGTATTGAGTCGTTTCTCAGTTCAGAGATCGAGCCCATGCACCCTCATCTCAGCCCTGTGCTGGCGGGCATGGGACTCGGGTCCGCCGGCCGTGTGGAATGAGCTCAGCTGCAGTGCGTACACTTGGCCACTGGGGGCTCCAGGCCAGCCTGTGCTCCCTCGCCTGTCGGTCAGGCTGCTACTGAGAACAGGGTCAAGGGGGTGGCATCTATCTGTGGCATAATTTTGCATCTACAATTTTATTTGAATTTCTTTTTCTCCTCAGGTAACCAGCCACAGCAAGGAGTGACTCCCTATGGGCATCCTTCACACTTCTGAGTCTGGGAGACAAGTCATGAAGTTTTATGTTTGCACTGAAAAACAGAAAATCTAATTTAATGCATTAGAAATGTCCCTTTGTTATTTCATTTCTTTGAAGTTTTCTTATGTTTTATGCTACACTTGTACAAAGGTGTTTAAACAAAAAGCAGAGGAGGAAGTGTGGTTTGGCTTGTTGCTTTCAGCTTTAAAGTAGATTTAAAATGTGGCTCATGCCTACTCCAGGGAGAGTTTGGTAGCAGACTTTTTGAAATTGGTGCTTTTTTTTGAATCTCATAGAAAGAATGAATTGTGGTGGACATAAAATATTTATATATTCATTAGTGAAAGTTTTTTTCTTTTCAAACTGTGCCGGACCAAACTACTGATTTGAAAGGCATTTCAGTTCTTGACAGAAAAGTGGCCCATTTATTCTGCATTTACCTTTGACAGTGAAGTGAACATTTATTCGCATCACTCTAATGTGAAATGTTTGTAATTTCATAAGCACTTTATACACTTTGTTCTTATTTATGTAGGTTTTTCTTTGCTTTTATTGTGGTCAAAAGGTGCTGAAACAGGTTGTTGCTTAAACTTCTTAGACCAAGAACTTAAACCAAGGCTTCTGGGAGTGCCACCTAAGAACGTGGACACCTGTTGGAAGTAGCTGTACTCAGATTTGTTTTCAGAGGCAAGGCCGTTGACCAGTCTGTGTGAAGGTACAGCATGTAAATTCTAGAGGCCCCAACAAACCACGGTGGAATTGTTCCAATTATTTATTGCCAGATTTGGCAAAAACAACTGTGTCCAGTTTTGGTTCTCCTGAACCTTATGCCAACTTGAGAAAAAAAATCTCGCAGCTGGCGTGAGATTTCAGTGCTCAAACTTGACATGGTTTCCAGAGAACCTGGCCCCGGTCCAGAGGCTCTGGTTTTCATAAAAGATGTATTTGCTGTTTATTTTGTATGGTAAGTATTTGCTATTTTGAATTTAATTATTAATGTTGGTGTCAGTCTTGGTTGTGTATTGCATATACTGTATTTATAAATTGGTGCAAAAAGCACAAGTAAATTATACATCAAATTTATTATAAAGAAATAGTAACTATTTTAACTTTGTTCAAGTATGTGGTAATTTGCTCCTATTAGAGTAAAAAAATACAGTAAATTATTATCAGTTTGTGTAATTTAAGAGTATTCCATATAATATTTTTTTAGATTTAGATGCATAAAATTTTGAATGTGAAAATTGCAGGGCATTTAAAAACATACGTGGGGGTATTTTCCCATGTTCTGCGTTAACTCATTTCCTTTTGCCATGTGATTCCACGTCATGTAGTCACATACTGTGAATAGATTTGTCTAGAATGAGCAAACCACGTAGAACCACTCTTTTTTCAATGTAACTAGTACAACTTTAGTAGATCATTTCCTTTGCAAAGCATTATATAAATAATTTATATCTTCCTAGGTGAGTTACTCATTGCAAAGTTTGACTCATGCAAATGACCTCAGATCTCTGTCCGCTTACTTTGCTGTGGCAGCATCCATGCGAACTGCTTTGTACACTGTGAAACTCGTTTACTCCGGCTGCTCATCGTGTTTACTCGGGGCCGGAAAAGATTTTGCCAAAACATTAAAGACCATTCTTTTCACTAGATTAACATATTCGATCTGCTTTCAGAAGAGGCATCTTTACGTTTCAGCTGGTTTTGTATATCAGGGTGTTTTTTCCCCCTCGAGAATCGTACTTAGAGCTCATGAAGTTATTTCCCTCCAAGTAGCATATCCGTATAACGACTGCCTTGGCGAGACAACTGAGTTGTGAATGTTGTGCCTGGAGAGTGAGTCACGTTCCGTCCTGATTGTTGTTTCCTTTCTTCTTGAGAATTATTGGCATTTAAAATGTCAGTTTTCAGTTTGAACCATGTATTTTTGTAGCTCAGTATTGCAAACAGCAGGAGTACTGTTTCAAGAACGAGTGTTCTAATTGCATAGCATTTGTATGCACTTTATACTTTGCAGAAGTTAGTAAAATTAATTTATTAATCATTTGCACATGAAGGCTGTGGGTGTATGTTTTTGTTGTGTGTCCCTCTTTTTTAGGCGAGGAAGCTAAGCCATGGTAAGGCTTCCAAGATTCTGTGGAAAGTTGGGGAAAAATCTAAAACTGGTTTTCCCCTATGCATAATAAAGACGGCAACTGGAAATTTTAATCTAGTCCCATAGTAACTCCCACTTAACCCTCTCCTAAGAGGTTTTGGTTTTTTTAGCTCATGCATTAATTTGCATTAAGTGATCACAAGGGAAAGCCCTGTCCTTCGACAGAACCTGATAATTTGCTTCATGAAATGAAATTATCTTAGGATAAATGGGAACCCCAACCCCCTTAAATATAAGACCTTGAAACAGAATGGAGTTGAACATGAGAAGCCCTTAGACATACCTGTTTACACTGTAGGCTTGTTCCTGGTAGAGTTGCATTTGTCGTGTTACTTACTCCTCTTGGCCCAGAAGTAGAGGAAGATCACTGTCTGACTGAGTACCTTTTGACTTCTTCCAGCCGTGGGATCCCAACATCAGGGGTAGCAGCCATCAGGCCACCTCTTCGGTGGGGCCAGCTGAAAATGGGTGTGATGAAAACACAATGAAGTGAGCCCTGCCATGTGTCTCAGGTACTGAGATATCCAAGCAAGACCTATGGCGTTTTCTTTTCCACTTATTAAGGCTCCTATAATTCTTCTTGAATATTAGGTTAATGTTGGAATAGATGCTGGAGAAATTACACTGGAAAATCCCAGCCTCTACAGTTACAAAAAATAAATCAAAATGCCCCCAAAGTAATTCAGGCTGAATTAAGCATGTATATAAATAAATTCAGAAAGTTACAAAAGGCAACATTTTGGGTAGGGTTGAAGACATTTTAAGTAGAGGGAAACTTCATTATATGATTAGATCTGGAGCTTTCCCAAACACTTACCTGTTGCATAGCAGATTACCACCTAATGAAATAAATGCTTACAGAGCAAAGGCTCCCCCTCAGAATTTTTCCTGTGACAGCTCCAGACCAGGTGCCTGAGCTAGATTTTGAAGCTATAAAGAAGTTTCATTGTATCTTTAAAACCTTTTTAATGGATTTATTTGGACAAAGACGTAATCAACGCCTTTTCACGTTTTACGACGTGCAGGTGTTAAGTTGCTTTCGCACGTGGACAGGTTAACCTGCGTTTCTTTACATGCAGTCATTGGAACGTCTTGGCATTCCCCGCAGGGAAAGTCTTCCGTGTGCACAAAACGGCAAATCCTAATGAAAACAGCTCAGTGCTTGTTTTCTGGAGGCTTTAGTAAAATATTTATAAACAACCACAAAATATTTGTACATCAAAACAGCATATTTACATCACGATTGCAATTTTAATCTTTTCCATCGTCTGTTGCCAGTGCCTTGCCCCTAACATTGACAGAAGGTGGACACAAGGCAATGGGTAATGGAAAACAAAGTCAATTTAATGAAGAATTCAGGTACATTAGCCATTTGTTGTTTCATAGTGGACAGTTTTCTCTCAATGTTCATTGTTATTTGTTGGCAAAATAAAAGTGCCTTAAGTTAAAAGTTTGTTTTGAGATCCATTAAAGAAATCAGTATCAGTTCATAATGCATTTACAAGTTGGGTTTTTTTTTGCATGTCCATGATAAATTTAATATTGTAAATGTATTCAAATTCATTTACATGCCTATGGCTGCCTTTGATTAAACTTCTTCCAAAAAATAAACCGTCCAGATGCTGAGTTTGTTCAAAAATTTTTATTTTATGTCAGATCACTTGCATATAAGTTGTTGCGAAATCACTCCCGAGGGCGTTTTTTGCCGTGCACCTGTACATCCCCGAGTCTGAGGTCTGAGGGTTCTGAATGACTAGGGTGCCTTGGGGGTGGAAAAGCCCAGTCCCACACGGCCTCGCTTTATCTGCCACTGACAGCAGGGAGTGGTCAGGCATCTCCCATGTGACTTCTGGCGTGGGGACTCCCAGGGCCACACAGTGGAGCCGAACAGCTGCCCCTGTCCTTGCGAGGATGTTCCTGGGGGGGCGCGTTGTGATTCGGGGAGGGTAGGCTACAACCACTACTGGGACAGTAACCAGAGCATGGCCAATGCTGTTTTGAGCCTTACAGATATAGTTTCCTCTGTCGTACGCTGTCGCTTCTTTGATGACTAAGGTGCCATTTTCATGCAGTATGTATTTTCCACTGATCTGAGGCCTGTCTAGTGTATGACCACTTGGTACCGTCCACTTGATGTTTGGCTTCGGGCTCCCATCGGACACACAGTGCAAGGCGAGGGAGTCCCCACTGATGCCGTAAACTGTCCCCAATGCATTAGTAAGAATAACTGGCTTCTGGCCAATTTCTAATACAATTAATTTCTCGATATAGCCGACTTTGTTCCTGGCCCCACACCGGTATTTTCCTGCATCTTCCCGAGTTGCTTTGTAAATCATAAAAGAACCATTGCTCGCTATCAGATACTGAGGATTTTGTGGTCCCTTCGGAAACCGGGTGCCATTTGGTAACATCCAGACTATTTCAGGTGGTGGGTTTCCATCGACAGAGCAGTTTAAAGCTGTGGACTTTCCAAGCTGGGCAACTATTTTTTCATTAAAGGGGTTTCTGAATGTCGGTCTTCTCAGCATTTCCAGGACCTCCAGCCGCACCACCAGCACACTCTCCCCGCCCGCGTTGCGCGCCACGCAGGTGAACTCGGCGGAGTCGGAGCGCCGCACGTTCCTGATCTCCAGGGTCCCGTTCCTGTGGACCGTGACCCTGCTCCCGTGGTAGGGCGCCGGGAGGAGGATGTTGTCCGGCATGATCCACGTGACGTGGGGGGGTGGCGTCCCTTCAGCTCTGCAATTGAAGTGCTTCTTGGAGTGCCTCACGGCGGTGGCTTGGATGACAGTTTTGTTTGTATACAGACCATTGATTACCGGGGGCCTGGGGACGACGTCCAGCTTGTACATTTTGGTGTCATCCCCACTGGGATTCCGGGCCACACACACGTACTCTCCAGAATCGAGCAGTTTGACGTCGTTGACGGACAAAGACCCGTTGGCATGAAATGTGTACCTATCTTTTGAGGATGAAATCAAGTCACTGGAAGGCAGCAGCCAAAATACTTTAGGTTTGGGCTCCCCAACCACCTCACAGTCGAGGACAGCTGTGTCCCCAGCCCGCACCCTCGTGGTGGCCTTGAAACCCTGCCTGATCCGGGGGGCGGCGGTTATGACCGTGAGGTGGACTTTCATTTCATCCCTCCCTAGAGGGTTCTGGGCATAGCACGTGTAATCCCCCTCCTCTGCGATCCCCACCTTGTTGAAGTACAAGGTGCCGTTGTCAAAGAGAGTGTACCGCCTGGAGCGCCGGCCGCCAGCCTGCGTGGCGTGTACGGTCGTCCCGTCGGGCAGGCTCCAGGATATCTGCGGCACTGGGGAGCCAGAAGCCTTGCAGTCCACTTGGAAATCTTTCCCGTGGAACACTTGCGTTTTAAGATGCTGCCTGTGATCAATTTTGGCAGGTTTCAGTTTTAGGCTAACGTGCATCAGTATCAGGTCATCCCCTATTTTGTTTCTTGCCACACACACGTAGTCGCCACCGTCTTTTTCCGTTATTGATCCAATAAACAGGGACCCGTTTGGGTAGACGTGGATTCGGCTGCCCATCCTGAGGAGAGAAGAGACTGGTTTGAGGGTGAGGCTCTTGGAAGAGGGGGGCGGGGGGAGCAGCTGTCTTACTGACATCAGGTGAGCTTTATGGACATTTTTTTTTAATTGTTGCAATACAATTAAAAATCAGTACTAACTTACTGTCTTCTAAGCCACTTACTGAAAGATAAAATGATGTAACCGAACAGGTACAATTAGAAGTGCTTCTCAGATGGACTTCAAATGAATCTCCGTTACATGATGGATTTTTTAAACATTATAGTGGTGAGAAGAATGCTAGAAATGTTGGGGTCCCACACGCTTTCTTGACCCATTTCCTATGAAACGGTCATTCTGTAAGATGCCAGTAAAGAACTTCCATACTTGTTAGAAAAGACGCCAGATTAAACTTTTTAGGGAGATATTAGTAACAAAACATTTATTTTGTTAGACGATAAGCTCTCCTTTGTTATAAAGAGAGACAGTGCCAGCGCCAGACTTGGTGGAAGCTCTGGAAGCGGCTGCGGGGCGACGCCGGGCGCGGGGCTGAGCTGGGGCCGGCTCCCCCAGCCCCTGCCCAGCCTGCAGTTCCCTCTGCGAGCCACCAGGTGGCAGGCCGTTCCTCTAGCACTAAACCGAGTTTTTCAGAAAGATCAGTGGAAATTGAGTTGGTACTAAAAGCGCGACTAAGAACACCCATAGGTGGACACCTTTTGTGTTTCTCTGCCGATTTTTTGGCAACATGAGCTAAGCAAGTAGGTGAACTGGCGAGAAAAGTGTGGACAATCGTGTCATAACTGCTAACCGGGTTAAACAGCCCTGTCCTTTCGTCTTCCCCACACGTACCCTGAGCAGCATGGAGAGTGTTACAGAACCTTGTGAAACATGCAGCTGGTCTTTGTAATTTTTTTTTCCAAGTATGGAAGAAACTTCTCTGGTATGTAAACCAAGGTAAAATCATAATGGATACATTTTATAAAGGGAATGGAAACTGCCAGGAACTCTGCATTTACTTTTAAATCTTTACGTAGTTCCCCACTATTCAGCTTAAAAAGCTGATATTCAGAGAGACTTCGTAACTGATTCAGCTCACAGGGCTGGCTCTCACCCTGTCTGTGCTCCCTGCGCGCCACACTGCCCCCTGCCGATTCTCAAACACGTGCACATTAAAGTCGGTGTGCAGTGTGAAATTATGCTGTGCCTGGGTCCCACCCCTGGAGTTTCTGACTTAAATGGTGCAGAATGTGGCCTCGGCACTTGGATTCTTCGTTTTCCAAATGACTGGTGTGTGGCCAAGTCCCAGAGCCACTGCTCTAAACGTAGTTCTCAACGCATTTCCCTCGTCACCTGCAGCAGAATCGTGGGACCTGATTTAAGATGCATCCCCATGTGCCTTGGAATTTATTTAAATGCTTTAATTTCACAGATGAAAACTGGCATTCAACATGAGTAAATGCTTATAATCACTTGAAGGCAAAAAAGGGAAAGAAACATGCTGAAATTACAATATCAGTGCAAAAGCTGATAAAGCATTGAAAATACTTGATGCCGTAAATGGCCATATATATAGTAAACAAACATGTCGTTTCCAAAGCTCACATTTCATAACTCAGCATTTTTTCATTTTAACTCTAATTTCAATTAACTACATTTCACTTATTTAGAAAACTTGAAAATTAAACATTTACTTTTGAATTAAAGATTACAAGTTAAATTCAACACCAACTTATTGGGTGACACTAGAAAAATCGATTCAGCTTCTCAGCTGGAATATAAATTCATATCTATTATGTTAAATTTGTCCTGCATGGTACTTTCTATTAATGAAAAGCAGGTATATAAAATATTCTCATCTTTTTGTCATATTATAGAAAATCATTGCATAGTCATGCAAATGACAAAAATCAGTAATCCTAAACTATAACTATTACTTTTCAAAGATGACTTAAACTACAGAAAACCAGATGACAATCCAAGTCAACAGCCCATCACAGAGCATGTTAGAGAAAGCGCATGCCTTCGAGAGCAGCTGAGGGATGACATTCCTGATCACATTCCACCCCGTGAAGGTCCTCATGCCCTGACTCAAAAAGTGTTTTGCAATTTTAGGACAGATGCAATTAAGTACAGATTATACTGAAATTTAAAATGTTTACCAGGAAACTTTGAAGAGTGAAATAATGGAGTCCATCTCTCCAGAACCTGGATTGAATTGAAAAATTCTCTTTTTTGATCAAGAGGTTATGAATACATTTACACAGTCACCATTTTAAAACTATCACAACTGTGAAAACAAAAGAGATTTTTATTCTGTTTTTAGCTATATAAACTCAATAAGAAGTTGGCCTTCAGAGTTAGGCATGTAGGAAGCTTGATTATATACAACTTACATTATTTTATAAGGCTCAGGTCTCTTCAGAGAGAGCTGCGTTTCTGTGCAGCCTGGACTCTAAACCTGTCCTCTAAAACTCACTGCATCGGTTTCCATTTGAGAAGCGGGACAGCTAAGCAAGTAAGGTAACCTCAACACAAGGGCATGGCTTACCTGTGCCACTGGTCCACGACAGCCTTGGATGGTAGCCTCCAGATTATTTTGGGTTTGGGTTCACCAACGGCTGAGCAGTTCAGCAGTAATTTGTCCCCAAAATTCACCTCATTCCATGTCTGGGAGGCAAACTCTATCCTGGGGATGGTCTCTCGCTCCGCCATTGTAAGAATTACCACCCTTCTGTCGGAGCCAGTGGAGCTGGTGGCAATGCATTCGTAAGTGCCCCTGTCTGAAGAGGCTACGTTTCTTATGTACAGCGTCCCATTGGGAAATAAGAACAGGTTGGGAGCGACAGACTGTAATGGTTTCACTTCGGTGCCGTCAGAGAGAACCCAGCGAACGCTGGGCCGAGGAGTTCCTGTTGCCGTGCAGGGCAGTTTCAAACTTGCACCCCACGTCCCTGCAACAACCTGCCTCTTCTGCTCTAGAATCACCGGCGGGGCAGCGATGACCTGCACTTTAACCAGCAGTGAATCCTGCCCGGCGGAGTTGCTGGCCATGCATTTGTAAAAGCCCCGGTCGTAAACGCTGACACTGTGGAGGACCAGCGTCCCGTCGGATGTCACCAGGGCCCGCCCATTCCCTTCGGATGACTCTGAGACCACTGTTAGGTTTGCGAGAGCCCAGGAAATGGTAGGCGCTGGCCTCCCTTCAGCTCTGCACGGCAGCTCCACGGTGCTTCCCGAGTGGGCTGTGATCTCCTTGGTATGTCGCTCCAGGATCCTGGGGGGATAGGAAATCACGGACAAGGTGACATGAAGGTGGGCTTTGCCCAATGGATTGGACGCCGAGCACAGGTACTGTCCGCGGTCCTGAATGTCCACCCTCCGAATGGACAGGGTGCCATTGGGGAGCACCTGGAACCGGCTGTTCTGTGTCCTTGCAGACAGATCAAGTCCTGACAGGAGAAAGAAGTGCACAGCCGTAGGTCATCAACATCTACACAGAAAACAGACTGTTCAAGTGGCAGTCGCAAGGGGAAGGCTATGTTTTTGTTAGGCTACTGAGTACAAATACGTTTAAAATTAGGACACCTAGTCTTCCCGTTGCTAAAGTTATTCCCGGAACTTTTTAATCCCCATAGCTTTCATTTAAAGGCCCGATGGTTCGACAAAAATGACAATTACCTCTCTTTCAAATCATATTTTTTTGGATCTGCTTTAAAAGCATTTTGGGGGGAAAAGTTCCTAATTAACGTGTTTTAAGACCTCCTAACGAGCAAGAAGGCCATGCAGCAAATGTCACGTGCCGATATTAGTAGTTTCTGTGCCTTGGGGAAACTGGGAACTGGTTGATTCTTCGGATGTGTAACAGCAAGCTCTTTCCCTTGCTTCTAACTAAAGGAGACAAACTTTTAAATACCTGACGAGCCCCTGGTCCAGCGGACGGTGGGCAGGGGGTTCCCAACAGCGGCGCACGCGAGGAGGGCGTCCGCGCCCGCCGGGACCGTGAAGCTGGCCGCGCTCCCTCCCGCGACCCGGGGCCTTTCAAATACATCCCCAGGCAAAGGCTCGAGGGGAAGTTCAGAAGCTGTCACTTTCTGCGCCGGCGTCCCATCAAGGCCACCCTGCTCTGCAGCGCCCTGTGCGTCCCGGTTTGAAGCCCGAGTGGGGTCCTCTGCCGGGCCTGGGGGAGGCGGGGTGCTCGCCCCTGGCCTTCTGCCCCTCGGGGCAGTTTCCGGGAAGGACTTCGGCCAAAAGTGGTTTTCCGACCAGAGAGGAGCCGATGGGGAATTCGGCGGGGTAAGTGTGGTCAGCGCGGGC